TATTTAAATATAGCACAGATTCTTTGACCAGACTGGTCAAATTGGTCAAATTGGTCTGGTCCAATGGTCAAACTGGTCTGGTCAAGCCAATACTGGTTAAAATGTATACAAAAACTCCAACCTGCACTAGCTTTACTTGTAGCTAATTAGAAAATTATTTTTGACCTTTACCCTGATAAAGAAGATTGGATTGCAATAAATATATATATTTATATATATATATATATATATATTTTTTTTTTTTTTTTAATTGAAATGCATGTTTAATTTTATAATAAACAGGATACTCTTCTAGTTTTTAAGTTATTAGAAAAGGCAACTAGATATCTTTCTGCATTGTTGTATCTAACTTTAAGTGATACACTATTTATCTTTGAAGGAATTCAAGCATGCCTAGAAAATTATATTGGTAAAAATAATTTTACACAGTATGAAATAGCAATGACTATGTTACAAAAACTCTCTGAATACTGGATATAATAAACTAGTCCTCAATTATCTCTGCGATATTAGACCCTAAAACTAAACTTCAATTTTCTCTTCACAATCAATTTCAAGTGTACAAGAACAAATTAAGCTTTTTTTCAAATATATTTAGAAAATACATCAAACATGACAACTTCACCTGCAAGAAATTCAAATTCAAATAGTATTTATCAATACTTTTCCTAGTTTTGGCATCAAGAGTTAACACCAAATATCAGACCCTTGAATTTAGTTAACTTACCATCTTCAGAATTAAATCGATACTTTATATTACCTGAAGATGAAGAAGAAACAAACTCCTTATTATGGTGGCAAATACATTCCAATGAATATTCTATTTTGAGTAAAATAGCTTGTGATTATCTCTCTGTTCAATCTACCAGTATTGTATCAGAACGAGTATTTTCCACTGCTAGGAACATTATTTCAAAAATATGAAATTGTTTATCACCAGAAACTGCAAGAGCATTCTTATGCATGAAAAGCTGAATAATAAATAATATAGGAAATAGTGATTAACAGATCACCTTATTAGTTTAGATATTAAAATTTTTTAGAATTTAGTTTTTTTCAATTTTTTTTTCTCTTCAATCTTTTTTTTTCTCTCTAATTTTTTTTTTTTCTTTAATTTTTTTTTCTTTTTTTTTTTTTTTTATCTTCAAATCTTTTTTTTTAAAAAATAAAATATAAAAATTAGTCGATCAATAAAAAATCTTA